TTTATGCCCATCATGGCAGCATCGCGCCCTCTTTTTTTGGTGATCTTTCCTAGGGTTGTCGGTGCTTGAATCACTGATGCCATTTGGAACTGATTTGGTCTTCTTTGTACATGATCGAACCAGTGGAGCCTGCTTTGTGTCAGCTGTACCGTTATTATAGCTACCACAGTGGTATATGACGTTTGAGGACATATCGAATGTTCCTTGTTTAAATCATACGTCCGTTTGTGCATCAACATCATTGCGAAAACTAGCAACTGCTTTCTTCCGTTCAGAGTGACCCAGTACTGAATATCTTGTCACTCTACTGGCATTGCTGTTCTACTAATATCTGCTTTCAGCTTGGCTGGCATTTTCTGTTCGAAAGCACACAAGCAGCGTTTGTCTCCACTTAAGCAAAACGTTTTTTGGTCGACCGTTTAGTTCTATGTTGATTTATCCATCATCTGTTATGGCGAATTTAGTTTCATTGTTACAGCGGATTAGTAGCTTTTTTGCATTTTAGAGATGCCGGCTTCGAAACCGATTATGCTGTGTAAATATTATCCGCCGCGAATTTCCTTAAAGGAGAAGTAAACTCCCCTAATGCGCCTCAGCATAACCATCTCCGAAAGAGGTGGCAAGTCTATGAAATGCGATCAACGGGAACAACTTGGTGTTCTGGTCGTGGGAGAGTATGCGAGTTAAATGGTCATGTCAGCTAAACGTGAGCGCAAAATGTAAACCATTAAATATTAGAAAGGTTAAATATATAAATGCCGAGACTTTGAAGTTCTTTAAGCGAGGGATGCCTTCCCCTAACATTCAGCGACTTGCCGGAGTTTCATTCTTTGTTTTTTTCTGCTAAAAAGTTGTATTCCACCTTGTTCATAGAGATAAATTCTTTAAGGAGCCGCTCTTCACACCTCTGTTTTTTTCTTATTATTATTCTCGTTTACGCAAGCATATCAGGCAGTTTGGAACCGTTTTTTCAGGTTTATTGTTAATGCTGCTGTCGCTATAGTAAACAAGCACAAATTTAACATTGGTCATTGATAAGTCTCTATCTGAACGAAGAACTTCTTTATTACCGCTTATGCTCGAACTGTCGTAACCGTAATTTACGTGTTGGGTGAGCCTGTCATTGTTCAATTTTCTTCTGTATGTTGTTCCATTTTATGACTTTTCTTCATGTTTCGTGAATATTCTGTTTCCAGATCCTGGAAGACCATCTTTGAAGTTCCACTATCTGCTTGTTTCTAAGGTAGTCGTACTGCAAATAGGATTTTAAATGTAATTGAGATGGATGATAAAATGAATGCATATGCTCTACGGTGTTATGCGTCGCATTCTCTTGGGGCTTGCCCATTCATATAAAGAACTTGTTTTCAGTAGGTTTGTAAGTCCTTCCGTATGTTACAACAATTGACATGATGATGATATGTCTTCACAACGTTT